CAGGCTCGAATCAAATTTGGTTTGGAGTTAGCTTGGGAGTTAGTTAGATTAGGCTAGGGGTTAGTTATGTTCAACTAAGGTTGTTGACTCACTCAACTCAGTGAGTTCTATTCTCATTTATGGCTCTAGTTAGCTTGGATTGTATTTCTTGATTTTACTTGAACTGTTTTCTATTGATATAATTTGGCATGGTTCACTTATTTGTTTTGGATATTTTCTTTAGTTCTGGTTTTAATTAGTTTTCCAAACATGTTTGGTTAATTGGTTATGTAGAGTTTATCTTGAATCGTATTGTAATGGCTGTAGATTTGGGAACATGGCTGGACTGTACATGTTGGCAGTGTACTGTAATGTTTCCCCCTACTGTGAATAATGCCCTGTACCTGATTCTGATTTTTGTGTTAAAGTATGCACTTGAATATGATTTTGACATGATTTTGAAGGTCTGGTTTCGTGGCCTTGTGTTGATTGGTTAAAGCAAGTTTGGACAAGTCATGAAGCATGGTGATTAAGGCATGTCATGGGGGTTAAAGAAGAGCATGGTATAATGCAAGTGGATTCATACATAGCATGAAGAAGAAGGCATAGACATGAAGTTTGCAATGAAGAAACTTAGGATTTTGGTGATGTTGTGCAGGGCTGCTCATGGTTAAAACATGGTGTTTGTCAAAGGAATAAAGCATTAAGTTGGTGAAGATTATTTGAAGATGTTATGAAAGCTTGAAGTTTGGTTTTGGTAGCCTAAAGCATGAAGTTCATAAGTTTAGCAACTTAGGATTTTATGTTTAGAACCAAATTTGTAATGTGATAGCATGATATTTAGAACTTGTATACTTGTAATTTTGAATGAATTTGAATGAGCTTTGATGGAACTTGAATGATATTGTAATACGGTGGGAGAACTGACTTGTTTGTTTTGTGTTTTTATTTGCAAATGTTGCGGTTAGCAAGAGCCACCATCGACTTTTCTTTTATCCAACAAAGGAAATGGTGAAAAGAACAGGAAAGACCTTTCGAGAGAATTTTCTGAGTAAGGGGGGTAGGTTATAGAAAGGAAAGGTGTTAGCACCCTTTCCATCCGTATTTATCTACAGGCTCTTAGTTTCTAACTCATTTTGAAAATGCTTTTTTGTGTAAGTGTGTTTTGAAGATATCTTGAAAAGACGCCTTAGCGCGGTGAATTTTGTAATGTTTCTCGTTTCAGCGAGAACGTATACAAGGTGTTTTCATATCGTTGAAAATGTTTGTGTATGTGTGAAAAAATTGTTTTGTTTGAGCGAGACACTAGGAGCTATCTACCTACTCGAAATGATTTTTCTTTTCCTCTTTCCTTTAGACAGTGCTATCCTACTACTAGGCAATAGGTAGCACTGTCGTTGGATGTTTGAGGGACGGGCGAGGGTCATCGTACAGTCACGAAAGCAACTTAGTAAGATACTTTAGTAACTACCCTAAGATTTTAAGATCATTTATCGAGGCAACATTGAAAGGGTCATCGAGGGACTTATGATCTTTAAACCAAAGGGTTGCAACTAAAATATCTTACATTCGAGAATCGTGACCATTTATTCCGAAGGCAACAAGTGGAGAAATCTTAGAGGGGCGCGTGTGCGAGTGTATTGTGTTTTAGTTATTTTATGTTCGGATATTAAGTTTGCTAGCGTTTGCTTTTAATCTTATCATACAAGCCTATTATGCATACATCTAACAATTAATATCAGTGCAAAAATAAAGTGCGGAATTTAAAAGCTACACTATTACATGGCTTCAGGGAGGGGGAATTACAAATCCAAAACGGGGAAATAAAAATTGAATTTCTAAATTTACAGCTATTACATCCTTTTGCAGTTACATCAATATAAAAAATGCGAAAATTAAAATAAGCGTGCGAATATGGGAAGCGAAGTAAAACCTTAAAACTCCTAAACGCGTAGAATATTTTTGTTGTTTTTATTTGTTTTAATAAAGTAATTGAATTAAACTAAAAAAACTAATTTTAATTAAATAAAAAAGAGAAGTGATAAATAATTGAAACTAAATCTAATCAAGAGAGAAAACTAATTCTAACATTTTTTGTATTTTTATTTGGAAAAAGATTTGAAATGATTAAACCTAGTTCTAATTGGTTTTAAATTAATCAAAGTAATTAAATTAATTAATTATGCACAAAAAATTAAATTAAATTAGAAAAAACATAAGTCTATTTTTTGTTGTTGTGATTTTCTGATTTTATCATGAAATGAAATTGGCTTTAAAGAAATAATATAAATAATTAAATAAATAAAATCTAAAATAAATAGAAAAGAAAAAAAAGCAATGGGCCTGATAGACAAAGCAAATAGGGGGTGCGCGTCTGAAATTGTTAGGCCCAATTCCAGTATCAACCCAAAGTCCCGCGTTCAATCTGGTGGAGAGTGAACCCTAGGGTACACCATGGTCTCCAGTCATTTGGAGCGCTAGATTTAACATCTCAGAATTGGATAGCCCAGGTGCGAGATCCACCATGCGCTTGTTGTCCTTCATATGCACTGGATTTGAAACAAGTTTGTTAGAAAATGTAAAACACAGAATTTTGGGATCGAACCCAGGCCCCTTAGGAGGGAGTAACTTTGCACGCTTACTTATCACCGTTGGGCCATTCAAGTCAATTGTTATTATAATAAAACAATAATAATATAATGGAAATTCAGTCAAGTTTCCTAAGTTCAAACGCATGCCAGAATTGATTCAAACGAACCAATAGGGGAGCGATGCCTGGACCACCGGAGTCAACCTTCCGGTTGTCTTCTCTGGTGGGTTCGAAACCCTAATATGCAAAATAACCAAAATTAATAGATCAAAACAATCCTACCCCCCTTAAAATGATGCCCTGAATCCGAATATGGCCTTATTTTTGGATAAATACCACGGGATCATGCGTTTCGAAGCAAGGTATCAGATTCGACTCAAAAATGGCATCTCACAATTTTGGCCCTAAATCCCCCATGTACCACGTCCAACCTGCTCTATACATGATTATGAACACATATGCAAACGTTAAATTTGAAAACAATGCAGATTAAGAGAAAATGTATCCAAAATAAATGTACCAATCAGTGAGGTTCGTGTGGACGAGTCAAGCTTGCTTCAGACCAAAGTGAGGGATGAAGGTGACTCCTAGAGACCTCAGGAGTGTAAAGGTGACATGAAATTGGATGGAGGAAGGCTGGGAGGTGACTTTTTTTGCGTGTCTTTTCTTGCATTTTTGCTCTATATTTATAGAGGAATGTGGGGATGAACAAACATGGCAATAATCATTACATTTAACCATGTTTTGAATACAAAATCACAAATTAAAAATATGCCATTTTTGATGATTTTCTTTCCAATTTTGAAATGTAATGAACCTGGTCCCTTTTCTATGTACCTTGCACGATATTTTGGGCTTCTTAATGGATCAAATTAGGCCCAAATGCCATAGCCTACTAACTCTTGCATTTTACCTTCATTTATTTAATTTAAATTAAATAAAACTCAAAATAAATGCAAGTAATATCAAGTCCATTCAAAAATATACTTAGAGGTCTTTTAAAACATTATGGACATGCTTGAAGTTCAAAAAGTAGGCCCATTAGTCTAAAAATGCAATTTTGCTCAATGTGTACTTTTTGAAATTTCTCAAAATTCCCCAACTTCTACAATTCATATCTCACTCAATTTTTATCCTTTGAAGATGATCTTGGACTTTTTCAAAATCCCAAGATGTCCTCTACGATCTCCATGTTGACCATTTTTGCTTTTGGTGAGTTTATCTTGATGTAACTTTCCTTGACATAAAATTCCTTTTTGTTGACTTTCAAAAAAGACCTATAATGTATTGGCTCATATCTTTCCAATGATGCATTTTTTGGATTTGAGAATAAAAACAAAGTTGTAGAGGATTGGATTTTATTAACAATGAGCTTTGGTTGGGGCAAAATGGATTAATCATGTGAAAGTTATGCCTAATCAAAGTTCAGTTGACTTTCTCTAGGAAACCCTAATTTAGCAATTTTTTATTCTTGATGATTTAAGAGCATTACTTGAGGAATCATGATCAACCCTTGATAAAATGATTAATATCACTTCAAAATGTTGATGTTGACCAAAAATCTTGAAGTTCTAATGTATATTGACCACAATTGACTTTTTCCCTAATATAGTTGATTTTCAGTCATTTGAGCAATTGACTGAGCAAACTTGTGATGAAAGGCATGAAACTTGGCATGAGAATTCTTGAGGATATATTAGAAACCATGGAAATAACTTTAGGCCTTTCAAACATAAACTTATTTGTGAAAAGTGAAACCCTAGTTGGAAGTTCATTACTTAGGAGGAGAATTTGTCTAGTAAATTCTTGGTTAACCTTGAGCATTTGAGGACCTCTAGGAATGTGTCTTGAATAAAATGAGAGGGAAAATTTTGGGGTACAACAACTGCCCTTGTTCAATCGTCTTAAATATGATAATTTAGATTGGTTGTCTGCCTTTCGCGATCTGAAGGTAGAAGATGATTGAACACTATAGTGCCCATAAATTTGTGCTCGCCGGTGCACGAAGTAATGTTGTCAGTCGATGATATGCTCGAATGGGCTTAAAAGATGCCATTCAGAGAGATGACAGAGAGTCGTCAGAGATGGGATTATAGATTCCATCTAAAGTAAATGTTGAATTTAAACTGGGAGAAGTATCTGAATAAACCTATGGTTGGTTTAATCTGAGCCAGAAAATGTATATATTCATCTTTGACTGGAAAAAGTATCAGAATAAATCTATCGTTGATTAATTTGAGCCAGAGAAAGGTCTACTAGGAGAAGTATCAGAATAAGTCATTGGTCGATTTAATCTGAGCCAGCAGATATTTATGCTTGTTTTTATCTGGAAGTATAATCAGAATAAATCAATGGTCGATTTAATCTGAGCCAAAAAAGGTCTAGTGGAAGAAGTATCAGAATAAATCATTGGTCAATTTAATTTAAGCCAGCGACTATCTACGACCGTCTTCAACTGGAAGAAGTATTAGAATAAATCATTGGTCGATTTAACCCCTTCCAGAAGAGGTCTCTGTTGTCTTTAACTGGAAGAAGTATCAAAATAAATCATTGGTCGATTTAATCAGAGCCAGAAAAAATCTTTGACTGGAAGATGTATCAGAATAAATCATTGGTAGATTTAATCTGAGCCAACGACTATCTACGACCATTTTCAACTGGAAGAAGAATCAAAATAAACCATTGGTCGATTTAATCTGAGCCAAAACAAGGTCTATGGAAGAAGTATCAGAATAAATCATTGGTAGATTTAATCTGAGCCAACGACTATCTATGACCATCTTCAACTGGAAGAAGTATTATAATAAATCTTTGTGTGATTTAATCTGAGCCAAAAGAGGTCTCTGTATCTTCAACTGGAAGAAGTATCTGAATAAATTAATTGTCGATTTAATCTAAGCCAGAAAA